CAGAATAGAGAACCCAGAAATAAACTCACAGAAATTTGTTCAGTTGATTTTTGACAAGGCAGCCAAGAATAGATAATGGGGAAAAGACTGTCCCCTCAATAAGTGGTTTTAGGAAAACTGAATATCCACATGGAAAAGAATGAAAATGGACCTCTTATTTTCTCCTTTACACAAAAATCAACTCCAGTTGGATTAAATCTTTTAATATAAGCCCTGAAACCATAAAACTCCTAGAAGAAAACATAAAGAGTAAGCTCCTAGACAGTGGTCTTGACAATACATTTTTAAATTTAGGAACAAGAACAAAAATTAGTGGGACTACATCAAACTAAAAAGCTCTACACAATGAAGGAAACCATTAACAAAATAAAAAGGCAACCTACTAAATGGGACGAGACATTTACCCTGTTGGTGTAAATGTTAACTGGTACAGTGACTATGGCGTTTGGCACTGAGGCGCCTCAAAAAATTAAAAACAGAACTACCTGGTGCACCTGGGTGGCTCAGTTGGTTAAGCATCTGCCTTCAGCTCAGGTCATGATCCAGGGTCCTGGGATTGAGCCCCACGTCAGGCTCCCTGCTCAGAGGGGAGTCTTTTTCTCCCTCTTCCTCTGTCCCCACCTCTCTCTCGTGTGTGTGTGTGCACTCTCTCAAATAAATAAAATCTTTTTTAAAAAGGTAGAACTACCAATAGTCCCACTTCTGAATATATAGACAAAGGAAACAAAATAATTATCTGAAGGAATAACCTGTACTCTCATGTTTATAGCAGAATGGTTTACAATAGCCAAAGTATGGAAAAAACTGAAGTGTCTGTCTACAGATGAATGGATAAAGAAGATGAGGTATATATACATGATGGAATATTATGCAGCCTCTAAAAAAGAATGAACTCTTGTCATAGGCAGCAAACATGAATGAATCTGGAGAGCATTATGCTAACTGAATTAAGTTAGATATCAAAAGATAAATACTACACAGTATCACTTGTGGTATTGTGACATATGGGATTTTTTTTTTTAAGTTGAATTTATAGCAATGGAGAGTATAAAAGTCATTTTCAGGCATTGAGGTGTGGGGGAAGTAGGGAACAGCTGGTAAAAGTATGTAATAAGTTAAAAGTATGGTTATAAGTTATAAGATGGATGAGATCTGAGGAAATAATATATAACATGGTGACTACAGTTAATAACACTGTTGAATAATTGAAAGTTTCTGAGAGTAGAACTTAAATGTTTTCACACAAAAAATATTTGTATATACATATATATAAATATGTAAAGTGATGGGTGTGTTAACGCAATGAAGTGACTTTTTTCATGATATATATGTATATTAAATCCTCATACTGTATACTTTAAATATCTCACATTAAATTGTCAATTAAAAAAACTAATAAAGCAACATAGAGGAAATGTAATCCATATAATAACAAATTGTAATTTTTCAGGATTTTTGCAGTATCCAGAAGGTATTTCCTGAACATCAATAGTGACCATTAATTTTAAATAAATTAATAAATAATTAAACCTCTTACATTGCATAAATCAGTTATTCCAGAGGGAGAGGAAGATGGCAGCAGAGTAGGAGGACCCTAGACTAATGTTGTTCCATGAACACAAACTAGGTAACTATCAAATCCTAAATAACCCAGAAATTGACATGAAGACTGACAGAACAAACTCCACAACTAAAGGAAGAGAAGACATTGAATATGGTAAGGAGTGCAGAGAAGTGATTTGGGGAAGAAACAGATGCGAGGTACTACAGAGGGGAGAGAAGTGTGGCTGTAGAGAAGGATAAAAGAGGAGCACACAGGGGAACACACAAGGAGAACATTTCCTCAAAGCCATTGGTTTGGAAGACGAGGGGCTGGATTTTATGTGTTCTTGCCGTCAGAGGGGCTTAGAGCCTGGAGTTTTAAAGGTCAGCAGGCTTGCCTGGCATAGAGACCAGAAGGCACTGTGCTGCTCCTGAAGAGAAGGCAGGCAAAGCAGAGGGAACTAGACATCATTAATGCTAAGCAAAATAAGTCAGTCAGGGAAAGACAAATACCATATGATTTCACTCATATGTGGAATTTAAGAAACAAAACAAATTAATAAAGGGACAAAAAAAGAAACAAACCAAGAAAGTCTCTTAAGTGTAGAGAACAAACTGATGGTTACTAGAAGGGAGGTGGATGGGCAGATGGGTTAAAGAGGTGATGGGGATAAAGGAATGCACTTGTTGTGATGAGCACCAGGTGATGAATGGAAGTGTTTTTAAATCACTATGTTGTACAAACTATTACACTGTATGTTCACTAACTGGAATATAACTGGAATATAAAAACTTTAAAAAATGTATTAAAAAAATCAGTTGTTCTTCAGTTAAGTTGGGAGCAGGGAGACAAATGGATAAGCAAAATAAATATGGTATACCACAAAATGAAATAGTACTTAGCAATAAAAGGAAACAAACTATTGATTTGCACAATATGGATGAATCTTAAATATAATTTGCTGAGTAAAAGAAACCAGTTTTATGCCATTTTGAAAAAGGGAAATCTGTAGGGATGGAGGACATCAGTAATTTTCAAGAATTGGTAGGGGAGAGGAATTAACTAAAAGAGGGACGCAGGAGGCAATTTTCTATATACAGTGAACACATCTAGTACCTAGATTTGGTTTCTAAATACCGTTGTCCAGCAAGAAGAACTGAACTTCTTGGAGACATTTCTTCCAGGGTCGAGATAAGGAAAATTTAAGATGAGCTTAGAAGCATCTTCTTGTGGTACCTAAAAGAAATGCTTGAAAAACAAAAAAGGAAAAAGAGGGAGGCATGTTCAAAGGAGACAGAAGCCTCCTTGATAGAACTCCTAGTGGCCAAAGCTGAAAAAAATGGAGCAATAAATTTAATAATGATAGTGTTTTATTATAATGCAAAAGAATAAGATTATATCCATGTGTCCACACTTACAGAAGAATTCCAATTACTAATGTAGAACAAATGAGGGAAATAAAAAAACACCATTAGAGCAGCACAATAATAATTGTCATAGGCAGGATCCACTGAAGAATGCTCATATTAGTGTTCTGAAGTTTAAGGAGAAACAGGCTATTTTCATAGTCACAAATTTTCCCCAAAACATTTGCAAAAGAAAATTGTAACATTACAGAATAGAAACTTGTCAGACAGCACCTTAACCAAGTAATCAAGGTTAATACCACTAGTCATAAAACATATATACCCTCATCTGATGCACTGAGAGGGTGCATCAGTATGATATCCTTCCCAAAAATGTACAACCTCAATCTAATCAAACAAACCTAAATTGGGGATATTCTATAACATAACTACCAGTTCTAATACTCTTCAAAATGTCAAGGTCATGAAAGACAAGGAAGGAGTGAGGTTCTGTTGGTGACTGGAGAAAACTAAGAAATCATAACAACTACATGCACTGTGGGATCATGGATAGGATCCTGGAACAGAAAAAAAAATTAATGAAAAAATTGGTAAAGTCTGAATAAAGTCTTAAGTTTAATTCATAGCAATAGCATTATTGCTTTCTTCATTTTGAAATTTTTACTATGGTTATGTACGTTGTTAACATTAGGGGGAAGTGGGTAATAGGCAGATGGGAATGTATGTACTATCTTTACAAATCTAAAATCTCAAAATTAAAAATTAAGTATAGATGTCTAAGGGCCCAGTGTTGTTTTTATATATCTCACAATAATCAAATAGCAGTGGAGAAAAAAAGACTATTTTAATTTGATCACCAAATAAACACTTTCGATAATTATTAATTTTCTCGTTTCTTTTAAATATATTTTGGGAAAAAATAATAAATAAATATATTTTGGTTGTGGTTATTTGGAAGTTTTAATAAAAATATTCACTAATCAATATCTAATAAGCAATTAAACCAGAGGTGATTGAGGAAATTGAACAGGTGAACTAAGACAAATGCTCTTAATTTGGTGCTGTGTTTTTTAGCAGTATATCAGAGTTTATTAATTTTCTTGTTCTCTTCATTCCTCTTTATTAATTGAATGTAACCATCTATTTTCTGCCTCCTTCATACTTAATGTACATTAGAATCTCAGAGTTAAATTTGCCCTCCTTGAAGGATCAGAGGTTTTTTTTTAAGATTTTTTATTTATTTGGGGTCAAGGGGAGAGCAGAACAGGGGGGAAGAGCAGAGGGAGAGAGAGAAACAGGCTTCCTGCTGAGCAAGGAGCCAGATGTGGGTCTCAATCTCAGGACCTTGAGATCATGACCTGAGGCCAAGGCAGATGCTTAACCAACTGAGCCACTCAGGCACCCCGGAACAGAGATTTTAAAAAAGATTGGCCAATTACAGGTTTTCTCAGTGGCTGTTAGGGTGGGGCAACTTTTATGGCAGTTGAGAAAGTAGTCGCTATAAGATGCCAAAGCACTGTGGATGACACCACCATCCTACCTCATTAATAGCTTTACCAGGGGTTTCAGTATAAGAGAATTACCTGTTATTTGGCAGCTATAGTTCAGTATTATTCATTGGACTGAATCTATAATTATTTGTTGTATTCTGTATACTTGGCAATGTGCTAAACCATGTAGAAATCAAAAATCAAAATCAAAATCGTGATCTCTACCAAAGAATCCCCACTCTTTTGAAAGAGGACAGACATGAAGGCACTGTAGTGGGTAGAAAGAGCAAAGGCTTTAGTGATTTTGCAGTCATATCCTTACTATCTCTTTCTTTGATTACTAGATCTGTGGCCTTGGGCATTTATTTAAACTCTCTGAGTTTGTTTCCTTATCTCTAATATGGGATACTAATGTCAGTCTTAGAAAATCGTTATGATCATTAATACCTGGCACATAGATACATAGTAAATGATACCTGTTATTACAGTTTTTGTTATCAAGACTGATAGACTACTGGAAAACATGGTAGTTTATTACACGAAATAACTTTGTTCATTGAATATTATGTTAGGTGCTCAATCTGTGTTTTCTCCCTTTAGAGATGATGAAGAGAAAAAAAAATCTCCATCCGAAGGTACTGATGAGAAGGCTAATGGAACACATCCAAAGACCATCAGTCGGATTGGGAGCACTACCAACCCATTCTTAGATATTCCTCATGACCCAAATGCTGCTGTGTACAAAAGTGGATTCTTGGCTCGGAAGATCCATGCAGATATGGATGGAAAGAAGAGTAAGCACAATTTGTTGTCATTGTCTGTTTCGTTTATTTCATCTTGAGGCCCAAAATGTAAAGTGAATTTATTTGAAGTAAAGTCAAGGATGAAGAAAAATTATATTAGGTTTATCTAGAGAAGTATTTAACTGAAGTTTGATGAAGCCTCTAACCCTAAGTCAGAAATCCATTGTGGCACCTGCTCTTCTCCAAGTAGAATTATAGAGCTTCAGAAATGGAAGACGTCATACAGATTATTCATTTCCAACCTTTTATTCATTTATTTACTCTTGCCTTCAACAAATAATTCTGGGTACTTAACTATGTACTAGACATCAAAAATGTAGCAGCAGATGGGATGGGCAAGGTCCCTGTCTTCATGGAGTTTACATCTCTGGTGGTTGAGGGGAAGAGTGAATTTATAACACAGCATAATCAATAATGTAAGATCCCACAGACAAGGAAGGGAAAGAATGGCAGTCTGCACACATTTGAAGGGATTGGCCTTTATGGAAGATGGATAGGTGTTTCGTAGGCAAGCATGGTATAATTAGTACTGGAAAATTAAAGGAGTCCATCTGACGGTTCTGTGAAGTATAAGACATCGTTATCTACTGACAGGTAATAGTGTTTGAGATTTGAAAGAAATGAAGTATGTTTTATGCTTAGAATAACCAATGCAAAAAGTGAAATAGCAATTTGATATAGTTGAACAGGCTAAGGTAAGCTAGTATGTATGCTCAGAATTAGTGGGTTAAACCTTTAGGGTGTTCCTACCTACCTACAGACACAAATATGCACTGCTTGGATGGATAGTACCACTACTTCTATCTGTGGCTGGGTACTTTGTTAGCACATTCTGTTGGGTTACAATCAAGAGAAATATTGTAATAGAGTGGCTTTGACACTGACTTACGATGCTGAGTATGTTTCTCAGTTTTTCCAAGTTCCTTAGGAGTACCTCTACCATATATCCTGTACACTCTATATACTAGCCTATTAGACTACTAAATTTTCTCAAAGAGAATTGTTTCAGGACTCTTGTAGTGGCAAGTGACAGCAAGTCTAACTGGCTTAGGAAAAAAAAGGCAAGAACACATTTAAAATGAAGAATGTTGCCAGGACCCTTTGTCCATTTCTGTCTCTGCATTATATTGCATGTCAACTTTACTCTTTGAAACAGGTCTCTTCTACATGGCTGGATATATGATTATTAGCAGCATTTTAGAGCAAGTGTTCAATTTTGTCAACAAAAAGTGTTCTCCTTCTTTCCTGATTTTGAATTTACTATATTCTGGGTACAACCCTGACTTGTATGACTGAGAGATGGAATACTGTAATTGTCAGCACTCACTTGGTTGAAATGCAAAGAGGGAAAGTTCCCTCAAGAATGAATAAGATACAGTTCTCATAGAAAAGGGGTTCTTTTTGGTGGACAAAGCACTAGATATTCATCTCTTTGTTGCCAGCATACACACACACCCTTTCTCCAGCCAATTCAAGCAAAGCTTTTGGTAAACATAGTACCATTTTTCATTTATAACCACAGATATACTTATCTCTGTCCCACATGTCATGCCTAAGAGTGGCTCCCATCTCCAAGGTTTAAATTTGCTGGTCAGTGTCCATTTTCCCTAGGTAAGGATGTAAATTCACTCTATAGGCTAAATGAAAAATACAGAAATATCTGACATACTTTATATAAAGTACTAAAAGCAAAGAGCAGTATAACTGCAGTTGAAAATACCAATTCAGGAAAGGCAAAAAAGGAAGCAAAACAGCAATCATTGGTTCGGTGTATTTTACTACATTCTGCAAAGTTAACCTACTTGAGCATCTTTTCATTGATTCACTTCCTTAGCAATGGATTGACATAATTGATTAACTAATTTCAAAGAGTCCCCAGATTCATCCTACCAGTGAAATTTTCTTTCTGTCTTGTTTTCCTGGGACACTTCTAAGGATTATTGGAGAGAATTCCCTTGCTGGAAGCTCTGCTCCCTTAGCAGCCCACTGTATATGAGTATAGGTACAAAACCTGGGAGTTCCTTAGTAGTTGAGCCATCATAGACCTTCTATATCATGCTAGATTTTCCTGCCAATATAACCTCCTTTAAAGCCTTAGTTAACTCCTTTGAGAACTTCAGATTCATTAGGGCAGTTTTAAGTGTCATGGGACTTTTATCTTTTTAGCAACTTAAGAATTTCTGCCTAGGTGAGGCGCTCCCCCCAAAGACCAGCACAGGCCCCTGTGCACATCATGTCCCTAAAGCCTAGAGTGTTAAAAGTCAGCAGGTTTGGCTGGGATACAGCTCAGAAGGCACTATACTGTTCCTGGAGAGAAGTCAGACAAACAACCCAGAGGCAGACTATAGAAACAGCAATCTGAAAAACACCTGAAACAAACAGTGGGGAGATTATTCATTCTTCTTGGCTTGCCTCCCTGAGAGGCAAGCATGCACAGATACTCCTCTCCAGGAACAGAGGAACTGGCTAGGGCCATTTCCTCCGTCACCCCACAGCATAAACACAGAGCCACCTGCAGTAAGCAGCACAGTGCCCACACTGGCTGTCTAACCTGCTTATACCAAGCCTCACATCCCTGCAATCTGGTAATACTGCCCTTCTCAGTGAAGCTTGCCTCAATCCCAGTGCCACAGGCCCTTTCCACAGAAGACCAGCAGAAGCCCCTGCCCACACCACAGCTGCTGACCAGAGTTCTGCATGGCTTCAGTTCAAGTGGAACTTTCAGGTCTCATTTAACACACAGACCAAAGTGAACCTAGTTAAAACATGCCACATTCTAGCCAAAGACCAAATACTTCCCACTGCAGGCAAGGAGAGCCCCTACAGAAACTGGCCCGAAGGATACAGCAGCCAAAACACAGTAGCAGAGGGCATGCAGCACACACCAGAGACACTATCTGAAGTACCAGGCCCTGCCTATATGATCTCTTCTTCATAAAGCCATGACTATCAGGAGCAGGAAACATACAGGCTTTTCTAACACAGAGAAGAAGAGAGACTTAAACAAAATGCCCGAGATCTAAGCAGAACAGATACAAGTAATATGACTGATGGGGAATCCAAAGCAACAGTCATAAGGATACTAGCTAGCTTGAGAAAAGAAGACCAGGGAGACGCTTACCACAGAGATAAAAGAGTAAAAAAACAGTCAGAAATGAAAAATTCAGTAACTGAGATTCGAAACAACAAATGCAACGACCAAACAATGATGCAACGAACACAAGGATGGAAGAAGCAGAGGCACAAAAAAGCAACAAACAAGATAAAATAATGAAACATAAGCTGAACAAAAGAGAGAAAGAATTTTGCAATATGAGAATATACTCAGGGAATTCAGTGACTCCATCAAATGTAATAACATTCATATAGGTGTACTAGAAGAAGAGCACAGAGAAAAGAAGACAGGGAATTTATTTCAGAAAATAATATGTGAAGATTTCCCTAATCTGGGAAGAAACAGGCATCCATAACTGGGAAGCACCAAGAAATCCCATTAAAATTAACAAAAGCTGGGGTGCCTGGGTGGCTCACTCAATTAAGCATCTGACTCTTACATCTCAGGTCATGATCTCAGGGTCATGAGTTTGAGCCCTGTGTTGTGCTACGTGCTCAGCAGGGAATCTGCTTAGAGATTCTCTCTCCCTCTTCCTCTAATCCTCCCCCACACTCTCTCTCTCAAATAAATAAATCTTTTTAAAAATCAACAAAAGCTGGCCAAGAACATGACATTGTAATTAAATTTTGTAAAATACACTGATAAAGACAAAAGTCTTAAAAGCAGCAAGACAAAAACAAGTCCCTAACTTACAAGGAAGACCCACAAGGCTAGCTTCAGATCTCTCAACACAAATTTGGCAAACTAAGAGGGAGTGGCATGATAAATTCATAGTACTGAATGGGAAAAATCTGCAGCCAAGAATACTCTTATCTAACAAGGAATAGAAGGAAAGATGAAGAGTTTCCCAAAGAAAAGCTAAAGGAGTTCGTGGCCATTAAACCAGCCCTACAAGAAATATTAAAGGGGACTCTGAGTGGAAAAGAAAGACCAAAGTGACAAAGACAAGAATGTAATAGAGAAAATCTCCCAAAATAACAAAACAAGTAATAAAATGGCACTAAATACATATCTATCAATAATTACTCTAAATGTGGGGTGCCTGGGTGGCTCAGTCATTAAGCATCTGCCTTCGGCTCAGGTCATGATCCCAGGGCCTGGGATCAAGCCCTGCATCAGGCTCCCTGCTCCTCGGGAAGCCGGCTTCTCCCTCTCCCACTCCCCCTGCTTGTGTTCCTCCCCTCGCTGTGTCTCTCTCTGTCAAATAAATAAATAAAATCTTTAAAAAAAAATAATTACTCTAAATGTAAATGAACTAAACACTCCGATCAGATACACGGTGTCAGAATGTATTAAAAAAAGAAGACCCATTTATATGCTGCCTACAAGAAATTCATTTTAGACCTAAAGACACCTGTGCATTGAAATTGATGGAATGGAGATATACTTATCATGCAACTGGACATCAGAGTAAAGCCAGATTAGTAATACTTCTATCTGACAAACTAGACTTTAAACCAAACACTATGAGATGAAGGGCATTATATCATAATAAAGGGGACAATCTAAAAGTAAGATCTAATAATTGGAAGTATTTATACACACAATGTGGAAGCACCCAAATACATAAAACAATAACAAACATGAAGGAATTCATTAATAATAATAGAATAAGAGTAGGGGACTTTATCACCCCACTTACATCAACGGACAGATCATCTAAGCAGAAAATCGACAAGGAAACAATAACTTTGAATGACACACTGGACCAGATGAACTTCACAGATATATTCAGAATATTTCATCCTAAAGCAGCAGAACTTACTTTAATGCAGGTTCTTTTTGAGTGCACATGGAACATTGTCCAGAATAGATCATATACTAGGTCACAAATCAGGCCACAAAAAGTACAAAAAGATTGAAATCATGCCATGCATCTTTTCTGACCAGAGTGCTATGAAACTTAAAGTCAACCACAAATATTATATATATGTGTGTATATATATATAATATATATATATACACCACAAATACATGGTGGTTAAATGACATGCTACTAAACAATGAATGGGTTAGCCAGGAAGTCAAAGAAGAAATAGAAGCCAGACTTATCAAAAAGAAAAGAGAAAGGAATCAAATAAAATCAAAAGAGGAGACAAAAAATAACCACCAACACCACAGAAATAAAATTATAAGAAATATTATTGGGTGCCTGGGTGGCTCAGTCATTAAGTGTCTGTCTTCAGCTCAGGTCATAATCCCAGGGTCCTGGGATTGAGCCCCGCATCGGGCTCCCTGCTCAGTGGGAAGCCTGCTTCTCCCTCTCCCACTCCCCCTGCTTGTGTTCCCTCTCTCACTGTGTCTCTCTCTGCAAATAAATAAATAAAATCTTAAAAAGAAAAAATATTATGAAAAACTATATGCCCACATATTGGACAACCTGAAAGAAATTGATGTATTCCTAGAAACATGTGAACCACCAAAACTGAAACAGGAAGAAATAGAAAACTTGAAGAGACCAATAACTAGCAAAGAAATTGAATTAGTCCAGGGCTAGGTGACTTCATGGGTCAATTCTATCAAACATTTAAGTGACAGTGATTACCTATTCTTTTCAAACTATTTCAAAAAATAGAAGAGGTAGGAAAACTTCCACATTCATTCTGTGGGGCCACAATTACCCTGAATTCAAAAATAAAGACTCCACTAAAAGAGAGAACTAGAGGCCAATATCCCTGATGCTTATGGATGTATAAGTTCTCAATAAAATAGTAGCAAACCAAATCAAACAGTACATTAAAAAAATCATTCATCACTATCAAGTGGGATTTATGCTTGGCCTGTAAGGGTGGTTCAATATTAGTAAATAAATCAAAATAATACACCACAAAGAAAGGACAAGAACCATATGATCCTTTCAATAGATGAAGAAAAAGCATTTGAAAAAAACTATATAACATCCATTCATGATGAAAAAAAAAAAGTCCTCAACAAAGTAGGGTTAGAGGGAACATCCCTCAACATATAATAAAGGCCATATATGGAAAAACCCACAACTAATATTCTCTTCAATGGGGAAGACCTAGGAGCTTTTCCTCTATGGTCAGGAACAACACAGGGATGTCTACTCTCACCATTATTATTTAACATAGTACTGGAAGTCTTAAGCATCAGCAGACAACAGAAAGAAAGAAAAGGCATTCAAACTGGCAAGGAGGAAGCCAAACTTTCACACTTCACAGACATCATGATGCTCTTATGTAGAAAACCCAGCAGACTCCACCAAAAAATTGCTAAAACTCATACATGAATTTAGCAATGTCTCAGGATAAAAAAATCAATGTACAGAAATCTATTGCATTTCTCTATGCCAATAACAAAGAAGCAAAAATCAAGGCATTGATCCCATTTATAATTGCACCAAAACCTGTAAGATACCTAGGACTGAACCTAACCAGAGAGGTACTCTGGAAACTAAGGAACACTTATGAAAGAAATTGAAGTTTGAGACCTTTACAACAGGTTACTTTCTTTTCTATTTTCCTAGCATTTGTGCTATAGTCATCTGTTTTCCTTGTGTATAAAACTCATAGTACATTGTGATTATTTTTGCTTTAAGTAGAAATGTAGTTTTTACTTTTACCCACACATTGACTATTTCTGGTATACCAAGTTCCCTTTTTCATTTTCAAATTTCCATTTAGTATCTTTTCTTTTTCTGCTTAATTTCCCTTAATATTTCTTGTAGTAAAGTCCTGCTAGCAAGAAATGTTCTCGTGTTTTATTGGTTTTGAAAAAAATGTACACTGCATCTTAATTTTTGGAATTTTTGATTACTGGTTGTAAAATTATTTGGCAATGTTTTCCTTTTCCTTCAGTAATTTAAAAATGTTCTATTTTTCAATACCCTGTGTGGTTTCAGACAAAAAGCCTGCTGACATTATTTATTTCTCTGTACCTATCATGGTTTTATTTTTTTCTCTCTGGCTGCTTTCAAGATTTTTCTTTTTCTTTTTGATTTTCAGTGATTTTATTATGAGCTGCCTTAGTGGGGTTTTTCTTTTTGTTGTCTGGTGTTGATTGAAGTTCTTGTATTCATCAGATTATATTTTTCACCAATTATGGAAATCTTTTAGCCATTATTTCTATAGCACCCACCCCTCTTTCTAGGATTCTCCTTTCCTATATATTTGACTACTTGATATTACACAAAAAGTTCATTAAGGCTCTGTTCAATTTTTTTCTAAATCTTTTTTATAATTTCAGAACTTTCTTTATTGCATGTCTTCAGTTTTACCATAGTATTTGTCATTTCACACATAGTATTTTTTTTTTTTTAATGAGAGAGTGGAGGGAGGGGCAGAGGGAGAGGAGAGGGAATCTTAAGCAAGTGTACGCTCAGCACAAAGCCCAACTCAGGGCTTGTTATCATATCCCTGAGATTCTGTCCTGAGCTGAAAACAAGAGCCACCCAGGCACACCATATATATAGTATTCTTTATTCTTGAATCTTTTCTATCCTCCACTTCTCTCATTATCAAGTTTTTAATGTCCTTGAGCATATTTTTCATATTTACAAGAGCTATATTAAGGTCCTTCTCTTTGATTCTTCTCTCCCTGTGATTTCCAGAACTGTTACTTTAATTTTCCTGCTACCTCTAGGTTATAGTTTTCTTTTTCTTTGCATTCCTAGTAATTTTTATTTGAATGCCAGATGTGACATTTTGGGAGACTGGATTTAGTTATATTCCATTAAAGAATGTTGGATTTTATCTTATTGTATAGATAAGTAACTTATGAATTAACTGAATCCTTCAGAGGCTTCCCTTTACTCTTTGTCAAGGTATATCCAAATCAACCTTTATTCTGGAACTTATTTAGCTTCATCCTGGGGACTATTATTAGTGTTTAGCCTCTAACCCTGGTATTACAAAGTGTTTCTCTCTTCTGTTTGATGAAAATACAGACTATTTCTACTCCCACATGAGCTTTTGAAATTGTTCATTCCACTACTGTTTGGTTATTTTTTTCACATGTGACCACATCAGTGCTCTAGCCAAGACCTGGGAATTCCTCTGCAGATCTCCAGAACTATCCTCTTGGGTGGCTTTCCTCCCTTGTTCTCTGATGAACAAATTCTAGCCACCTCAACCTCACAAAAGTCAGTGCAAGTTCCTAACTATAGTTTGGCACCCTCTTTCACTATTGGATCTTAGATACTTCCTTCAAGCAGTTATCTGGGCTTACCTCTTTTGTTCCTTTCTCTTTAGAATCAATTCAAAGCTGCCTAATGTACAACATCTGGAAACTTTTGTTTCATATGTATTGTTCTGCTTTTTACTTGTTATGAAAGGAGAGAAGTTTTTGTAGCAGTTAACCTTTCATGGACATAAGGAGAACTAAACTGGTTACTGATCACTTTTGTTAAGAAATTTTTTCTAGTTGCCTCAGACCTCAAGACTTAATATTTACTGAGCTATGAAAGTGAAATGGAATTCTAATACCAAGGTCCATGAAGAAAAACTGAGAGCTTTTCCTGTATGGTCAGGAACAGGACAGAGATGTCTACTCTCACCACTGTTGAACGTAGTACTGGAAATCTTAAGCATCAGCAATCAGACAACAAGAAGACATAAAAGACATCCAAATCGGTAGGGAGGAAGTCAAACTTTCACACTTCGCAGACAACATGATACTCTATGTAGAAAACTGAACAGACTCCACCAAAAAATTGCTAAAACTCATACATGAATTCAGCAAAGTCACAGGATATAAAATCAATGTACAGAAATCTATTACATTTCTCTATGCCAATAATGAAGCAGCAGAAATCAAGGAATCGATCCCATTTATAATTGCACCAAAACCTGTAAGATACCTAGGAATAAACCTAACCAGAGAGGTAAAAGATCTGTACTCTGGAAGCTATAGAACATTTATAAAAAATTGAAGAGGATACAAAGAAACGGAAAAGCATTCCACGCTCATGGATTAGAAGAATAAACATTGTTAAAATGTCTATACTACCCAAAGCACTCTACACATTCAGTGCAATCCCTATCAAAATACCACCAGCATTTTTCACAGAGCTCGAACAAATCCTAAAATCTGTATAGAACCACAAAAGACCCCGAATAGCCAAAGCAATCCTGAAAAAGAAAAGCAAAGCTGGAGCCATCACAATTCTGGACTTCAACCTATGTTACAGCTCTGTAGTGATCACAGCAGTTGGTACTGGCACAAAAACAGACACATCAATCAATGAAACAGAATAGAAAACCCAGAAATGAACCCACAACTATATGGACAACTACTTTTCAATACAGCAGGAATGAATATCCAGTGAGAAAAAAGACATCTCTTCAACAAATGGTGTTGGGAAAACTGGATGGCAACATGCAAAAGAATGAAACTGGACCAGTTTCTTATACCATACCCAAAAATAAATAAAAAATGGATGAAAGACCTAAATATGAGATGGGAAACCATCAAAATCCTAGAGAACACAGGGAGCAACCTCTTTGACCTCGGCCAGAGCAACTTCTTACTACTCATATCTCTGGAGGGAAGGGAATAAAAAGCAAAAATAAACTATTCTGACATCTTCAATTTAAAAAGCTAATGCACAGCAAAAGAAACAATCAACAAAACTAAAAAACAGCCTGCGGAATGGGAGAAAATATTTGCAAATGCCATATTTGATAAAGGGTTAGTATCCAAAATATATAAAGAACTTGTCAAACTCAACACCTCAAAAACAAATAATCCATTTAAGAAAAAGGCAGAAGACATGAATATAGACATTTTTCCAAAGAAGACATCCAGATGACTAACAAAAACATGAAAAGATGCTCAACATCACTCATCATCAGGGAAATACAAATCAAAACCACAATGAAATACCACCTCACACCTGTCAGAATGGCTAAAATGAACAAAACAGGAAACAACAGATCTTGGCACAGATGTGGAGAAAGGGGAACCCTCTTACACTCTGTTGATGGGAATGCAAACTGGTGCAGCCACTGTAGGAAACAGTATGGATGTTCCTCAAAATGTTAAAAATAGAACTACCCTTGTGACGCATCAATTGCACTACTAGGTATTTATCCAAAGGTTACAGAAATACGGATTCAGAGGGGCACCTGCACCCTGATTTATTAGCATTATCAACAACAGCCAAATTATGGAAGGAGCCCAAATATCCATTGACTGATAACTGGATAAAGAAATTGTGGTATAGGTGTTAAGGAGTTAAGGTGTATAGGAGTTAAGATGGCAGAGTAGTAGGGGTACCCTGGTCCTGCCTCTCCCTTGAACACAGCTAGGGTAATATCAAATCATTTTAAACACTGAGGAAATTGATCTGCAGATTAAGAGAACAGTCTGCACAGTTAGAGGGACTCTGAGAATGTGGCATGTACAAGGTGCAGTGATGTGAATTGGAGGAGAGAAAAGCCATGGTGCTGTGAAGGGGAGGAGGGAGCACTTTCCATGGAGGAAGGAGAGTGAGAGAATGAGAGAGGGGGACAGAGAGCAGCATGTTGGTTCACACAGGAAAAACACTTCCCCAAAACCATTGACTGGGGAATCCAGAGGAATGGACTTTTGCAAGTTTTTACAAGCAGGAGAGTTCAAAGTTTGAAATTTTAGAAGATAGTGCCATTCACAGGAGTCCAGTGGGGGGGTGGGCAGCATTTCTCCTGGAGAGGAGGGCGGAGACCTGGGAGCAGAAAGTATTGTGTAGGGATCCCCTGGGTCACACTGGGAGAGAATATTCCCCTTCCTGGGGTACATCTGGAAGAGGGTATATTGCCTCTCCAAGGAAAAAATACCCTCCAGGCACCATTGAGCAGCTGTTCATTAGCAAGGTCCAGAAGTATGCACAGAGGGCAGATAACCTGTTCACAGCTTTTCATTGTGCTTTACCATAAACTCCAAGCACCTGCACTGCCATGCAGCTGCTCTCCTGGGACAGAACAGCACCAGACACAATGTGGTGAGGCTCGGCTCCAGAGGAGGGGAGTGAGTCCACGCCATAGCAGGTCCTTTAAGATTTGGAATTTTGTATCCCATCCAGGCACCAGACATAAAACACAGGAGAACTGTGGCGCTGGATGTGCCCATGGCTCAGGCACAGACAAATTGAGGGCAGGGATCAGCCTGGGACACCAGAAGGGAGGTTGTTCAATTTTCTTTTAGGGCTTTCTGAGCAGTGTCAGCCCGAGCTCCCCTCTTTGGGATGAGAGATCGAGTGATGCCATCTTTCCCTCTACCAACAGCATGATTGGACCTCAGTGAACAACACAGCACCCCCGGTGGAGTCTTGAGCCACTTACACCAAACCCCACCCCCCTGTGCCCTTGCAGGTGCATCTTTACTACAACAGGTTGGACTATGAGCCAGCGCAGCAGGTGTCTCCCACAAAGGAGTAGCATAAGCCCCCTGCATGCGCCAAGTCTACTGATCATAGAGTGCTCCAAAGTGTCAACTTCAGTTCTGATGGAAGTAGGACCAGGCTTTCTTTTTTCTTTTTCCTTTGGAATCAGGTTTATAGTTTACAGTTTTCTGTTTGTTTGCTTTTCTCTTTTTTAGTATCAGGCTTTTTTTTTTTTTCTTTTTTTTCTTTGGAATCAGACTTACTGCTTTTAGTTTGTGTATTTTTGGGGTTTTTGTCCTTTTCTCTCTTTTTGGATCAGGTTTAAAAAAAACAGGCTTGTTGTATCAAACAAATCAAAGCATACCTGGTTAAATGTCTAAACACTCCCCACTACAAGCAAGGAGGAACTCTGAAGAGGACTGACCAATGGGAAAGGGAGCCAAAACACAACAGCAGAGTGCACAGCATACACCAGAAACACTTCCTGAAGTGCCAGGCCCTGGACAGTGTATTACCACTTCTTGATATAGCATTACTCTCAGGAGCAGGGAACATAACAAGCTTTCATAACACATAAAAGACAGAAACCTAGACGAGACAGGATGGAGGAATTCTCCTCAAAAGAAAGATCAAGAAGAAATCACATCCAGGGATTTACTCAAAACAGATATAAGCAATATATCTGAACAAGAATTTAGAACAGCAGGGCGCCTGGGTGGCTCAGTCGTTAAGCGTCTGCCTTCGGCTCAGGTCATGATCCCAGGGTCCTGGGATCGAGTCCCACATCGGGCTCCCTCCTCGGGGGGAGGCCTGCTTCTCCCTCTCCCCCTCCCACTGCTTGTGTTCCTGCTCTCGCTATCTCTGTCTCTGTCAAATAAATAAATAAAATCTTTAAAAAAAAAAAAAATTTAGAACAGCAGTCATAAGAATACTGGCTGGGCTTGAAAGAAGCATAGAAGACACTGGAGCTACCCTTGCTGGAGAGAGAAAAAAAACCTAAAAAGTAGTCAGGCAGAAAGAAAAAATGCTATAATTGAGATGCAAAACTGAATGGATAAAGTCAAAATGAGGATGGAAGAATCAGAGGACACAGTAGGTGATGGAGAAGTTAAAATTATGGAACATAATGAAGATGAAGAGAAGAGGGGAAGAAAACTGTTCGATCACGAAGTTAGGCTTAAGGAACACAGCAACTCCATAATGTGCAATAATATCCATATCCTAGGAGTCCCAGAAGAAAAGCGAGATAAAGGGGCAGAAGGTTTATTTGAACAAATTATAGCTGAGAACATTCCTAATCTGGGGAAAGAAACAGGCATTCAAGTCCAAGAGGCACAGAGAACTCCCCTCAAAATCAACAAAAACAGATAAACACCATGACGTATCATGGTGAAACTTGCAAAATATAAAGATAAAGAGAATTCTGAAAGCAGCTAGGGCAAAAAAAAAAGTCCTTTACCTACAAGGGTAGACATATAAGGTTAGCAGCAGACCTGGCCACTGAGGCTTACAAGGCCAGAAGAGAGGGCAGGAAATATTCAACATGCTAAGTGGGAAAAATATTTAGCCATGAATACTTTATCCAGGGGGTGGCTCGGTTGGTTAAGCGTCTGCCTTTGGCTCAAGTCATGATCTCAAGGTCCTCGGCTCAGCAGGGGAGTCTGCTTCTCCCTCTCCCCCTGCTTGTGCTCTCTCTCTCTCAAATGAATAAAATCTTAAAAAAAAAAAAAAAAAGAACACTTTATCCAGCAAGGCTGTCATTCAGAATAGAAGGAGAGATAAAGAGTTTCCAAGACAAGCGAAAACTATAGGAGTTAGTGAATTCTAAACCACCTGTGCAAGAAATATTAAAGGGAACCCTTTGAGCAGAAAAGAGAGACCAAAAACAACAAAGACTAGAAAGGAACAGAGACAATCTATAGAAACAGCAACTTGACAGGTAATACAATGGCACTAAATTCATACCTATCAATATTATTCTGAATGTACATGGACTCAATGCTCCAACAAAAGACACAGGGTATCAGAATGGATTAAAAAAAAAAAAAAAGACCTATTGATACACTGCTTACACAAGATGGACTTCAGACCCACAGACATCTCCAGATTCAGAGTGAGGGGATGGAGAACCATTTATCATTTATCATTTTAATGGACATCAAAAGAAAGCTGGAATAGCCGTACTTAATATCAGACAAACAACATTTTAAACCAAAGACTGTAATAAGAGATGAAGAAGGACACTGTATCATAATAAAAGGGTCTATCCAACAAGAAGATCTAACAGTTGTAAATATTTATGCCCCTAACTTCAGAGCAGACAAATATATAAATCAACTAATAACAAGGAAAATCATTGATAATAATCCAATGACAGTAGGGGATTTTAATACTCCACTCACAGCAATGGACAAATCATCTAAGCAGAAAATCAACAAGGAAAAAGGGCTTTGAATGACACACTGGACCAGTTGGACTTCACAAATGCTTCAGAGCATTTCATACTAAAGCAGCCGAATACACATTCTTTCCAAGTACACAGGGAACATTCTCCAGAATAGATCACATACTAGGTCACAAATCAGGCCTCAACCAGTACAAAGACATTGAGATTATACCATGAATATTTTCAGACCATAATGCTGTGAAACTTGAAGTCAACCACAAGAAAAATTTGGAAAGACCACAAATACGTGGAGGCTAAAGAATATTCTACTAAAGAATGAATGAGCTAACCAAGAAATTAAAGAAATAAAAAAATACATGGAAGAATAAAAATGAAAACATGACAGTCCCATACCTTTGGCATGCAGCAAAGGTCGTCATAGGAGGGAAGTATATACCAACACAGGCCTTCCTTAAGAAGCAAGAAACGTCTCAAATATACAACATAATGTTACACCTAAAGGAGCTGGACAAAAAATAGCAAATAATGCCTAAAACCAGCAGAAGGAAATAATAAAGATTAGAACAGAAATCAGTGATATATAAATCAAAAAAACAGTAGAACATATCAATAAAACTAGGAGCTGGTTCTTTGAAAGAATTAACAAAATCGATAAACCCCTAGCCAGACTTACCAAAAAGAAAAGAGAAAGGACCCAAATAAATAAAATCACAAAAGAGGAGAGATCACAACCAACACTGAATAAATACAAATGATTATAAAAGAATATTATGAGCAATTACATGCCAATAAATTGGGCAATCTGGAAGAAATGGATAAATTCCTAGAATCATATAAGCTATCAAAACTTCAGGAAGAAATTAAAAAATTAGAACAGACTCATAACCAGCAAAGAAATTGAGTCAGTAATCAAAAATCTCCCAACAAACAAGAGTCCAGGGCTGGATGGCTTCCCAGGAGAATTCTTCCAAACACTTAAGAGTAATACTGATTTTTCTGAAACTATTCCAAAAAACAGAAATGGAAGGAAAACTTTGAAACTCATTCTATGAGGCCAGTATCACCTTGATTCCAAAACCAGACAAAGACTCCATTAAAAAGGAGAATTACAGGGCGCCTGGGTGGCTCAGTTGGTTGGGTGACTGCCTTCGGCTCGGGTCATGATCCTGGAGTCCCGGGATCGAGTCCCGCATTGGGCTCCCTGCTCGGCGGGGAGCCTGCTTCTCCCTCTGACCCTAACCCCTCTCATGTGCTCTCTCTCATTCTCTCGCTCTCAAATAAATAAATAAAATCTTAAAAAAAAAAAAAAAAAAAAGAATTACAGACCAATATCCCTGATGAACATGGACTTAAAAATTCTCAACAAATACTAGCAAATTGAAAGCAACAGTACATTAAAAAAATTATTCACCACAACCAGGTGGGATTCATTCATTGGCTGCAGGGTTGGTTCAATATACCCAAATTAATCAAGAGAAAGAAATAAAAGGCATCCAAATCGATGAAGAAATCAAACTTTTCCTCCTCACAGACGACATGGTACTCTATGTTGAAAACACAAAGACTGTACCCAAAAATTGCTAGGACTTATACAGGAATTCAGCAAAGTGGCAAGATACAAAATTAATGTACAGAAGTCAGTGGCATTACTATACACTAACAATGACCCAGAAGAAAGAAATTAAGGAATCGATCCTATTTATAATTGCACAAAAAAACCATAAGATACCTGGGAATAAACCTAACCAAGGAGGTAAAGGATCTGCACTCTGAAACTATAAAACACTCTTGAAAGAAATTGAGGAAGATAAAAAGGTGGAAAAACTTTCCATGCTCATGGATTGGAAGAACAAATATTGTTAAAATGTCTGTGCTTCCCAGAGCAATCTATACATTCAATGCAATCCCTATCAAAATACCATCAACATTTTTCGCAGAGCTGAACAAATGATACTAAAATTTTTAAGGAACCAGAAAAGACCCTGAATAGCCAAAGGAAAGTTGAAAAAGAAAACCAAAGCTGGTAGCATCACAATACCAGACTTCAAGCTATAATAAAAAGCTGTAAGCATCAAAACAGTATGGTACTGGCACAAAAACAGAAACATAGAGCAGTGGTATAGAATAGAGAACCCAGACATGGACCCTCAACCCTATGGTCAACTAATCTTTGGCAAAGCAGGAAAGAATATCCAATGGAAAAAAGTCTCTTCAGTGAATGGTGTTGGGAAAATTGGACAACAACATGCGGAAGTATGAAACTGGACCACTTTCTTACACCACACAAAAATAAATTCAAAATGGATGAAAGACCTAAATGTGATTCAGGAAACCCTCAAAATCCTACAGGAGAATACAGGCAGAAACCTCTTTGACCTTGGCTGTAGCAACTTCTTACTAGACACGTTGCCGTAGGTAAGAGAAACAAGCTAAATGAACTATTGGTTGGGGCATCTGAGTGGCTCTGTAGGTTAAGCATCTGCCTTTGGCTCAGGTCATGATCGCAGGGTCCTGGGATCAAGCCATGTTGGGCTTCCTGCTCAGTGGGGCATCTGCTTCTCCCTCTCTCTCTGCCCCTCCCCCTGCTCATGCGTGCGCGCTCTCTCTCAAATAAATAAATAAAACCTTTTTTAAAAAGATAAAAACTTATGCACAGCAAAGGAAACAATCAACGGAACTATAAGGCAGCCTACAGAATGGGAGAAGACACTTGCAAATGATATACCTGATAAAGGGTTAATATCCAAAATCTGTTAAGAACTTGGCAAACTCAACACCCAAAAAACAAATAACCCAGTTAAGGAATGGGCAGAAGACATGAATAGACATTTTTCCAAAGATGACATCCAGATGGCTAACAGACACATGAAAAGATGCTCAATATCATTCATCATCAGGGAAATACAAATCAAAACCACAATGAAATACCACCTCACACCTGTCAGAATGGCTAAAATTAACAACACAGGAAACAAGAGATGTTGGCGAGAATGCAAGTAAGAACCCTCTTGCACTGTTATGGGGAATGCAAACTGGTTCAGCCACTTGGGAAAATAGTATGGAAGTTCCTCAAAATGTTCAAAATAGAACTACCCGACGACCAAGCAATTGTACTACTAGGTATTTAACCAAAAGCTGCAAAAGTACAGATTCGAAGGGGTACATGCACCCCTATGTTTGAAGCAGAATTATCAACAATAACCAAACTATGGAAAGTGCCAAGCATCCATAGACTGATGAATGGATAAAGAATATTTGGTGTATGTATACAAAGGAATATTACTCAGCCATCAGATTGAATGAAATCTTGCCTTTTGTAATGATGTGGCTGGAACTAGAGTGTATTCTACTAAGTGAAATAAGTCAGAGAAAGACAAATACCATATGATTTCACTCATATGTGGAATTTAAGAAACAATACAAATGAACAGAATGGATGGGTAGGAAAAATACAATAAGATAAAAATAGAGAGGGAGGTAAACCATAAGAGACTCTTAAATACAGAAAACAAACAGGTTTGCTGGAGGGGTGGTGGGTGGGGAATGGGCTAAATGAGTGATGGGAACTATAGAGGGCCCTTGTTGTGATGAGCAGTCGGTATTAATATATAAGTGATGAATCACTAAATACTACTCCTGAAACCAATACTACACTATATGTTAACTAACTTGAATTTAAATAAAAGTTGGAAGAAAAAAAAAATGTATGTCCTGGAGATCAAAAGTAAAGTATAGTGAATATAGACAACAATATTGTATTGTAGTCCTCAAACTTGCTAAGAGACTAGATCTTAATTACGCGTACCATGAAAAAAGAAATGACTGTGATCGACATGATAGCAGTGCTAACTATTGCTACAATGGCAATCATATCACAGTATATAAATGTATCAAGTCAACATGTTGTATACCTAAAATTTACATAATGTTATATGTCAAATATATTTCAAAAAAAATTAAACTGTAACTGAACAAAAGAAGACTTTCGGTAAAGAGCATATACCAAAATCCTATTTCCAACATCATACTTACTAGTGAAGGACTGAATACTTTCCCCCTGAGATTGGGAAGGGGGCAAGGATTTATATGCTTACCACTTTTACTCAACATAATACTGCAATTCTAGCCCGTACAATAAGGCAGGATAAAAAAATTAGAAAATTAGATGGAAAAATAAAACTGTCTCTATTCACGGATGACATGATTGCTATATATAAACTTCTAAGGAATCTACCAAAAAGTCCTAGGATTTACTGCAAAAGAAAAATCATAGTATTTAGTGTGAGGTCAGCCTTGTTGCAGATTAAAAGATCTACACAATAAAATATATCCCGTTTCTATATACTAACAATGAATATGTGGAAACCAAATTAAAAATGCAATTTCATTTACAATTACTTTAAAGAAAATATATTACTTAGTGTGATGGATTGAATTGTGCCCCCAGTGTGACTTCATTTAGAGAAAAGGGTTTTAGGAATTGAGGTTAAATGATGTCCTAAAGTTAGAATCCTAATCCAATAGGATTGGTGGCCTTAAAAGAAGAGGAAGATCTCTCTCTTTCAGTCCCTCCACATGTATGTACTATGGAAATGCCATGTGAGTACTTGAGGAGAGCTCTTACTAGAAACCAACCATGCTTAACATCCTGATCTCATACTTCCAGGCTTCAGAACTGTGAGAAAATAAATTCCTGTTCTTTAAGCCACACAAATTATCTGATAATTTGTTATGGTAGCGCAAGCGGACTAAGACACTTAGGTATGCACTTAAAACATGTACAAGTATTTGTGTGCTGAACATTACAATATTGTGATGAAAATAATCAAAGAACTAAGTAAATGGAGAGGCATACTATGTTCAGAAGTAGGAAAATTCAACATAGTGAAGATGTCAGTTTTCTCCAAATTGATATATAGGTTTAATGCAACTTAATATCCAAATTCTAGCAAGATTTTTGTAGACATAGTGAAGCTTATTCTAAAATTTATATGGAAAGTCAGAGGCCCTGAATAGCTTAAATAATCTTGAAAAAGAATAAAGTGTCAGGAATAACTTTATGAGATACGAAGTCTTACTATGTAGCTACATTACTCAAGACTGTGGTATCAGTGCATGTATAGTCACACATATCAGTGGTGCAGGATAGTGAGCCCAAAATAACCACACAGGTATGTTCATCTTGTTGTTTACAGTGGTGCAAGAACAACTTAGTGGAAGAAGGATAGCTTTTTCAACAAATGGCAGCGAGGCAATTGGACATCCATAGGCAAAAAAAAAAATCTTGACCTAAACCTAACACCTTATATAAAAATTAACTCAAAGTACATCACAGAGTTAAATATAAAACTTTGAAAACTTGAAGGATAAAAACATAAAATCTTTGGAGTTTAGGGCCAAAGAGTTCTTAGGCCTGACAGCAAAAGCATGATCAATAAAGGAGAAATTGATAAATTGGATCTCATAAAACTTAAAAACTCTGCAAAACCCATAGTAAAGAGGATAAAAAAAATAAGGACAGACAACAGGAAGGTATTTGCAAATCAAATCTCCAACAAGGAACTGCTATCAAGAATATATAAATAGGTCTCAAATCTCAACAGTAAAAAAAAAAAAAAAAAATCCAGTTAAAAATGGGCAGAGACATTAAAAGACTCAAAATAAAAACACAGTGAGATATTGCTATACACCTATCAGAATGGCTAAAATAAAAGTCAGTGACAGCATCATGTGGTGGGGAGGATATGGAGACATAGAATCACTCTGCATTGCTGGTGAGAATGTAAGATGGCACAGCCACTCTGGGAAATAGGTTGGCAGTTTCTTATAAAACTATGCAATTATTATGTGCTTCAGCAAATGCCCTCTTTATATTAAATAAAAACTTATGGTCACACAGACACCTATACACAAATGTCCATAGTAGATTTATTTGTCATTCCTAAAAATTGGAAACATGCCAGATGTCCTTCAATGGGTTAAATGTTTAAATAAACTGTATTATATACACATCATGGAATACTACACAGCAATAAAAAATTAACTATTGATACACCAGGCAACTTGGATGATACAGAGTATTATTCTGAGTTTATAAAAGCCCATCTTAAATAGCTACATACTATTTGATTTCATTTATATAAAATTTTGGAAATGACAAAATATTAGAAATGTTGAACAGATTTGTGGTTAGTAACTGCAATGATGGGACATGAATTTATATATGTGATCTAATTGCAATGAACGTATTTTGTGCCAGTCTCAGCTTATCAATAACCAGTGTTCTGGCTGGACTGGCCCTTGTGGTTCTTATCATGACTGCAAGATGCCCTCAGCAGCAATCATTAGGTAACTTTGAAAATGAGTTTTATTACTTACAAAAAGGAAGGAAGGAAGGAAAGAAGGAAAAGAAAGAATTTATTGTGTGTGTATATACACACACACACAGAGAGAATATTACCCAGCCATCAAAAAGAATAAAATCTTGCCATTTGCAACAAGGTGGATGGAGCTGGAGCGTATTGTGCTAAGTGAAATAAGTCAAGTCAGTGAAAGACAAATAAGTGATTTCATTCATATGTGGAATTTAGGAAACAAAACAGATGAACATAGGGAAAGGTGGAGAAAGAGAGAGAGAGGGAAGCAATCCATAAGAGACTCTTAAGGATAGAAAACAAACTGAGGGTTGTTGGAGGGGTGGTGGGTGGGGGATGGGCTAAATGAGTGATGGGTATTAAGGAGAGACTTGTTGTGATGAGCACTGGGTGTTGTATATAAGTGATGAATCACTAAATTCTACTCCTGAAGCCAGTATTAGACTGTATGTTAACTAACTAGAATTTAAATAGAAATTTAGGGGGAGGGGTAGGAAACCACTAAAAAAAAAAAAGAATTCTAAGCATTTGAGTACAGTTGAACTCTTTAGATATGTATTTGGAGATCCTGAAAGGAAATTTTTGGCTTCCCAGCTAATCTTCTCCATGCTCTCCCCAACCCCTATTTGTTGAACTTTCAGTCATATCTAAGATAGTTGAACTGGTTTATCTCAGTGATAGACTGCTACTGCTTCTTAGAAATATACCAGAGTGGCTGAACTGCTTCTGAATGCATAGATGGTCACTATAAGTAAATTTGGAATATATTTTATGTTACTCATATCTAATGTGTTTTGAAAATTATCACTTTTCATTTCTAATACATTAAAACAAATTAGAACAACAGTGGAGTTTATTTGGAATAGGTGCTTCAAATAATTTTTGAGAAATCTGTGTGATGACACCTTTTGGACATACTTATCCTGCAAAATCTGTAGACATTTATTTGGGTTATAATGTTCAGTGTTGCTAGAACTGTATTGCATTTGCATATATATGTAAACATAGCCAGGTGCTATGATAACAGATATTACTAAAAGTTTTTAATAAGTGAAGATTTGGGTTGAAACTCTGTGGAGAGATTAAAACCCTGATTAACTTGTCTCTAAAAGACCTCTTATCTGACTCTATATTTGATATCTTTAACTTTTTTAAATTAACTCTAAGGACTCAGTTTGTGAGATTGCATCTGTAATTGCTCGTAAACATTTTTAAAAGCCTTGGAGCATTTCTTTGCTTCATTTAATTAATTTATTTAGCCTTTAAAAAATATGCTCAAATCAGAAATTCTACCTCCAGGAGACAAATCATGATGGAAAGCAAATGTATCTCTCATAGAAGTATATGTGTTTATCAGACTCATTAAATCTGACATTAAGGTAAAGTTTTGAACAGTCACATTTGGAAAACAAACTATATTTTCTGATTTTGTCATGTAAAATAAAAAACAAAATTCAGTATAGCCTCTTAGTTTTATTAACCTGATGTAAGAAATTTGTGGAAATCAAAGTGACTGGAAACAAGGTATTCAAAATATAAATGTTCTAAAATGAAGATAATAACAGTGATAAAGGTGACAATCAGTATTAAAGCTTTATCATAAGCACTTCATGCATTAACTCATTTAATGTTCACTCTGTGAAGCAAATATTATTAGTATCCCCATTTTATTAAGGAGAAAAATGATCTTAAACCTCTTAACCAAGGCTGCAGTAGAGAATTGCAAGACATCTGATAGGACTAAAATCTGATTATAGCAAACTAATTGCAGCATATTGTTTAAAGCAGTACCCAAAAGAAAATATGCCTATGAAATATTTAAGTTCTGCATTTTTTGTGCTGTTGGGGACAGTCTGTCACTATGTAGCATGTATTTAGATGACAAGAGGTATCAAACTAGAGCCTGTGCAGGCTGAGCTTTTCTTTTCTTTGGCCAACGCAGTCCTTTTATGTGTTTTGACTTGCATGAATTTTATTCAGAATTTTCTTGTTGACCATAGTTTCCACAGCTCCCTATGTCATACCAGGCCTCCCCACGCAATAATTACTACTTTTCCGGCCCCATATTCTTTTGAGATTGTGATCCCAATCCCTGTCTCCCATTTAGACTGAAGTAGCACACAAGAGATGGGGGCAGGCAAATGAATAAGATCATACATAGTGCCGTGTTTGTATTTTAGTGGTATCGATGTGGGAAGAAATGAAGTGGCTGTCTAGTTTTTATTACCACCTACATAAGGTGAGATGCAAGTAATGATTTTTTTCCCTACATGAATTAATCACTCCTGGAGTACCTAAGACTGAATATGTATAAAGATTTATATTAAACATAGCCTCTCTCCTAAGTAGCTTACATCTCTTACATATGTGGAGAGTAATTACAATCTAGCCTCCATAGTACAAATTTTTAAATACATAGTTAGCTAAGGTACCACACATAGTGTTCAAAGTTGAGTGGAAAAAGTACTATTCAGACCATGCTTACATTTTCTCAGATAACAAGACATTGATAGGACCACTGGAATTGAAGAGAGCCCAGAAGCAGCAGTGTCCATTGTTTATAACTTGAAAAATGTCATAAGAAGTATTTCATATAGTTAAGGACATCAGAAATGCTTCAGTAAATTGTGCAAAGTGTGGGACGTGAGTATGTGGATGGGATATGTAGGGGGGTATGGTATGTGTGATAGGGTGGTATGTGATATGTGTTCATGTGGGGTGTGCTAGGGTGTGTGTGTGTATTTTCCACATCAATCCTACCAGAAAAATCAGTTCCAGGTAAATTAAAAGTAAAAATTTGAGAAAAAATATATAATTTTTAGAAGAAACTGTGGAACAATATCTTTATTATCTTTGGGTAGAGAAATTTCTTAAGATTTAGAAAAACAAAAACTGAAAATATGTTTATACATGTGATTACATTAAAGTAAAGACTTTTTTGGGGCGCCTGGGTGGCTCAGTCATTAGGCGTCTGCCTTCGGCTCAGGTCATGATCCCAGGGTCTGGGATCGAGTCCCACATCGGGCTCCCTGCTCGGCAGGAAGCCTGCTTCTCCCTCTCCCACTCCCCCTGCTTGTGTTCCTGCTCTCGCTGTGTCTCTCTCTGTCAAATAAATAAATAAAATCTTTAAAAAAAAAAAAGTAAAGACTTTTTTGTATTAAAATCCTCTTTTGAAAAGTTAAAAGACAGTCCACAGTTTGGGAGATGATACTTGTAGCACATTGCCAGGATTAACATCCATAATATACATTTATTTTTTTTTAAGATTTTATTTATTCATTTGACAGAGACAAAGAGAGAGCACAAACGGGGGCAGCAGCAGGCAGAGGGAGAGGGGGAAGCAGACTCCCTGCTGAGCAGAGAGCCTGATACGGGGCTCGAACCCAGGAGCCTGGGATCATGACCTGAGACAAAGGCAGATGCCTAACCAACCGAGCCACCCAGGCACCCCCATAATACACATTTAAAGAAATCTTAAATTAGTTAGAAAAGGCAGCCCAATAGAATAATGAGCAACAATTTGAACATATATCATCCACAGAAAGAGAAAATCAGATGATCAATAAATATATGAAGAGATACCCAATCTCACCAATAACAACGATATTCATATTAAACACATGATGATATATTATTTCACATATGTCATTGGCAAGAATTTGAAAGAATGATAGCAAATGTTGGCAAGCATTTAGAGCAGCAAGCACTCTCCTACCCTGTGAGTTTATCAGTGGTATCACCACTTTGGAAGACAGCTGGCAGTCATCAGTAGAGTTGAAAATACTTCAACCTATGTCTCAGTTAATCCAATCCTACTTAGGTACATATCTACAAAAACTCTTGCAGTTTTATGAGGGGAAATTTCATAGCAACATTACAATAGCTGAAAATGAAATAACCAAAATGGACCTTAATAAGGGATTGGATGGGTTTCATGAATTCATATAATAAAAAAAAACATGATGTAACAGTGAAAAGGAAGGAACTAGTGTTCCATGTATCAACATGGATAACTCTCACAAACATGATGTGAAATGAAAAAAAAGCAACTTGCAGAAGAATGCACACATATGGTAAGATGCTTTTTTAATTGAATTTAATTGTATTTAAATGTGGAAAACCCAAAGACTCCACCCCTAAATTACTAGAACTCATACAGCAATTCAGTAGTGTGGCAGGGTACAAAATCAATGCACAGAAATCAGTTGCTTTCTTACACACTAACAATGCAAATGTAGAAAGAGAAATTAGAGAAACAATTCCATTTACAATAGCACCAAAAACAATAAGATACCTCAGAATAAGCCTAACCAAAGAGGTAAAGGATCTATACACTAGGAACTACAGAACACTCATGAAAGAAATTGAAGAAGACACAAAAATGGAAAAACATTCCATGCTCATGGATCGGAAGAATAAACATTGTTAAAATGTCTGTGCTGCCCAGAGCAATCTATACCTTCAACGCCATCCCAATCAAAATACCAATGGCATTTTCCAAGTGCTGGAACAAACAATCCTAAAGTTTGTATGGAATCAGAAAAGACCCCAAATTGCCAAGGAAATGTTGAAAAAGAAAAACAAAGCTGGGGGCATCATGCGTGATTTCAAGCTATATTACCAAGCTGTGATCACCAAGACAGCATGGTACTGGCACAAAACACACAAAGACCAATGGAACAGAATATATTGAGGGCCCAGATATGGACCCTCAACTCTATGGTCAACTAATCTTCGACAAAGCAGGAAAAAATATGCAATGGAAAAAAGACAGTCTCTTCAATAAATGGAGCTGGGAAAATTGGACAGCTATATACAGAAGAATGAAACTCGACCATTATCTAACACCATACTCAAAGATAAACTCAAAATGGATGAAAGACCTCAGTGTGAGACAGGAATCCATCAAAATCCTAGAGAGGAGCATAGGCAGTAACCTCTTTGACATCGGCCACAGCAACTTCTTTCAAGACACGTCTCAAAAGGCAAGGGAAGGCGCCTCGGTGGCTCAGATGGTTAAGCGTCTGCCTTCAGCTCAGGTCATGATCCCAGGGTCCTGGGATCGAGTCCCACATCGGGCTCCCTGCTCCTTGGGAGCCTGCTTCTCTCTCTCTCTCTCTCTGTCTCTCATGAATAAATAAATAAACTCTAAAAAAAAAAAAAAAGGCAAGGGAAACAAAAGCGAAAATTAACTTTTGGGACTTCATCAAGTTAAAAAGCTTCTGCACAGCAAAGGAAACAGTCAACAAAACAAAGAGGCAACCCACAGAATGGGAGAAGATTTTTGCAAATGACACTACAGACAAAGGGCTGCTTTCCAAGATCTATAAAGAACTTCTCAAACTCAACACCCAAAAACAAATAATCAAGTCAAAAAATGGGCAGAAGACATGACAGACACTTCTCCAAAGAAGACATACAAATGGCTAACAGTCACATGAAAAAATGTTCATCATCATTAGCCATCAGGGATATTCAAATCAAGACCACATTGAGATACCACCTTACACCAGTTGAATGGCAAAAGTTGACAAGGCAAGAAACAACAAATGTTGGAGAGGTTGTGGAGAAAGAGGAACCCTCTTACACTGTTGGTGGGAATGCAAGTTGGTACAGCCACTTTGGAAAACAGTGTAGAGGTGCCTCAAAAGATTAAAAATAGAGCTACCCCACCACCCAGCAATTGCACTGATGGATATTTACCCCAAAGACACAGATGTAGTGAAAAGAAGGGCCATATGCACCCCAGTGTTCATAGCAGCAATGTCTGCAAGAGTCAAACTGTGGAAAGAGCCGAGATGCCCTTCAACAGACAAATGGATAAAGATGTAGTCCATATATACAGTGGAATATTATTCAGCCATCAGAAAAGATGAATACCCAACTTTTACATCAACATGGATGGTACTGGAGGAGATTATGCTAAGTGAAATAAGTCAAGCAGAGAAAGTCAATTATCATATGGTTTCACTTATTTGTGGCACATACGGAATAGCATGGAAGACATTAGGAGAAGGAAGGGAAAAATGAAGGGGGGAAGTCGTAGGGGGAGATGAACCATGAGAGACTATGGTCTCCGAGAAACAAACTGAGGGTTTTAGAGGGGAGGGGGGTAGGGGGATGGGTGTGCCCGGTGATGGGTATTAAGTAGGGCACGTATTGAATGGAGCACTGGGTGTTATACACAAACAATGAATCATGGAATATTACATCAAAAAGTAATGATGTACTGTATGGTGACTAACATAATAATAATTTTTTTAAAAGGCAACTTGCAGAAGAATGCACACATATGATAAGATTCTTTTTTTATTGAATTTAATTGTATTTAAATTCAATTAATTAATATATAGTGTATTCTTAGTTTCAGAGGTAGAGTTCAGTGATTCATCCATTGTATATAACACCCAGTGCTCATTACATCACATACCCTCCTTAACGCCCATCACCCAGTTACCCCATCCCCCACCCCTCACCCCTCCAACAACCCTCAGTTCGTTTCCTATAGTTAAGAGTTTCTTATGGTAGGGCATCTGGGTGGCTCAGTCAGTTAAGTGTCTGCCTTTGGCTCAGGTCGTGGTACCAGGGTCCTGAGATTGAGCAACGCAGTGGGTTCCCTGCTCAGTGGGGAGTCCACTTCTCCCTCTCCCTCTATCTTCACCCTGCTTGTGTGCCCTCTTGCACACTCTCTCTCACTCACTCTCTCAAATAAATAAATAAAATCTTTTTAT